GATGTGATAAACTATTAGTGTCGTGTTCTTTCTTCGGTTGAACAAATTTCAATTAATAATAAGTTTTTGAACAGAATATATTTTAGTGTTTAAGTTACAGATTGGCCTGGCGTATAAGGTAACAACTAAAAAGAAAATGGTTTTTGTAATAATGTTATTTATTGTTTCGTACTTTCGTTTGTGATGTGATTAAATGTGTGTATTTTAACTTTGACTCTGGAATGAAATTTGATGTCCTTTACAGCCTGAAGAAGTTCCCCTTGGGAAGAAGCTCTTCACTAAACTTTATTTTTTTCGTTGGAGATTTACACACAAAACAGATGTTTGTTATAGTTGTTCCCTGCGTTTAGAAAATATCGTTTTTTTATGATAAACTTAAATAATTTATTACTTGATTGTACCTCTAAATTAGGGAAACTAAACTAAATTAGCTAAATTAAACTACATCAACCCTAGATTATCATATTTTTCCGCTTAAATCACCCCAAAAACCTTGTACAAAATGAATTGTCCACCCCTTTAAAAGATAACCTTAACTACTTTCCTAATTACACTGTACGTGTGTGCGATAGATGGTTTTATTTCTAGGCATAATGTGAAGAAAATAGAAGTTGTGGTAACTGTAGCTTTTAAGTGACTCCTAACATAAAGTAAGTGATTATATTTGACGGTTTATCAATGAAAATGACTAATTAGTACCCATTGTGAATATGATTAGCTTCATAATAACCTTGTAAGTATTATGAGGGTAATTATAAGTTCTCAGCCTTTTTTTAAATGTCATTAATCATAACCATTCGACTCATAATACCGTATAACTAAATCAAAGAGATTGTATATGGATTAAGTACAACAAAATGTAAAATGTTATTTACAGATAAATTATATTATTATATAACAGTATTTAAACTTTACACAGTTCAAAATGGATGCCTGAACATTCCAGTGATGTAATTATTTTGTCTCTCTCTCGGGTTCGTGGTAGCTCGTGATCAATTGCATTCGAAACGTAATTTGATGATTTGAAATCTAATTTTAATGGCTGGGACCAAAACCACTACTTTATCCTATAGTTGAACTTTGATCGTTATGGTTAGTAAAATATAAACATAATCAATTCATTGAAACCACAAAACAGAGGAAACTTAATAATATGTATTGTTTGTTGTTGCCATCCAACTATAAACTCAAATATTGATAAATTATGCTCTGTATATTCTTATTGCTCGTTTAGAGCTCTTTTTCATTTGTTTAGTTTTGAAAGTCAATGTTTACTTTATGTCCCATGATAAAAATATCGTCCATATTTCGGGTGAAAGCATTTTAATGGTCTCGTTCCTTTAGTCTCTCGTCTAAGTGTGGATCTTAAAACACAGCTTGGTCTCACTTCAAAACATAGCTTTTGCTTTTTGATACGAGCTACTGTTGCACTCTTTGGTTGCAACTGTAACCAATGATGATTGAAAGGTTTTTTAATTTTATAATTCATATGATAAGCTGTTATAACAGTCGAGTTTATGTCGAAGTCAATAAATACTTTTTATATAAAGAAAGTTAAACTATTTTACTAAAGCTATGGTGATAAAAAACTATGTTTAAAAATTTTGATGTTTTGGTCAACTACCTGATAATTGTTTACTTTTAATGTGACTAAATTTTGGTGTTAATATGCAGGTATTAATTGTGTAGCCCTCGTAAAAAATACGCTTGATACCTTTTTATTAAACTTGTTTTATTTAATTTAGTGTATATATACAAATTTAAAAAGGCTTTCACTTCATAGTTTATTGTATTCTTAGGTTAAAAGTGGGGCGCGAGCTGATGTGTCCTTTAGTTTGTGGCGTGATTAAATGTGTGACATCTGCGGGAACGAGCTGGTCTCGTGGTTAGAGCGCGGGACTTTGGTCCCTGAGGTCATGAGTTCAAATCCCACCAAATCACCAACGGATTTTATCTTTGTGATAATGTTGCAACCCCTGGGTCTAGCCTGAAGTGATGTGAAAAAACAATTCTGGGCTCGTGCTAAGTGTTAACATAATTTAATACAGTACTTTAGTTATTATATCAACTGTAGTTATTATATTTTGTTTGGTTTTCAAGTTCCTTCTTGTAAGTGGTCTAGACATGTTTTACCTTTTTGAAACTAAGATCAGTCTAATTTGTTATTTTATGTTTATGTTTATGTTTATGTTTATGTTTATGTTTAAGTTTATGTTTGTCGCCTTAAAATAAAAACTAGGATCGTAAGAAAACCATTGTCTTTGTTAGTATGTTTATAAATTTAATGCAAATACTTCATTTTTTATACTTTTCAATGAAATGGCGACCATACAAAGTAGGTATTTTAAGCCAAGTATGAGTGGGGATGAGTGTAGGATGAGTGGCGCGATCTTTCAGTCTTGTTAGTGACTAAGGCCAACATATTCCTTAGAAACAGCTGTTAATTATTAGGACCTACATTTTAGAATGGAATCTGAACCACATTTTTGCCTTGGTATTAACATTGACTTTATAGATATAAAGTCAATGGTATTTACGAATGGTCTAACTATCAGGATAGTACTGCGGATAGTCGTAGTACTCACTAGTGCGGACGTTAAACCAATATAATTTTAAAGCATTTTAACATTTACAATTTTACCGGAAATTTTTACGATCTTAAAGTAATTTTAATTATAGTGGTACACATTGATTAGCCCTAAGTATTCATTACAGCTTTTTAATAAAATATTTGATTAAAAATTATAGTTGATTCATCACTACTTAATAAAGTTCAAAGACATAAGCAGCAATGAAAACTTGTACTAATTTTGTGTGTCGATTAAGTTAGGTTTCAAACAGTTAGCTCTTTTTGAGTTTACTAGATAAGATCTTACTATGATATACGTTAATAATCTTATTTTTATGAAGATAATTAAAAAAAGGTTATCTTTAACATGTTTTGTAAAATTTTACAATTTAGTTCAATAGGTCCTAAGTTGATCTCAATAAAAAAGAGACATGTTTTATCGTTTTCTGTTCATTTCATTTCATAAATATTTCAACTAAGTACGATGTCTAATTATTTTCATAGATTGTTTGTTTATACAGTACAATAGTTATTTTGGCTTAGTATTTTTTTAACAGAGCTGCATCACATAAAGTGCGGAAATTTGAACGGTATAAAAAAGCGTATTTTACAGTAAGCATACATTCAAATTCAAATAAAAATATTTTTATTTAAGATATTACATTACAAGCATGGCCCCGCCGAGTTTTAAAAAACTTTTCGGCGGGGACCAATAAATTCAAAAAATGACAAACAAAGTTTACAGATTTGTTTCCTTAAGTTTTTTTATGCCAAACATTATGAAACTAGTTCTAAGGTGGTTTGTGGCAGGCACTTATTTGTAACAAGAGTATTTTGGCAGCAAGACTTAACATATAAAAGCATTTTACTAATTAAGTACCAAGAACCGGATATTGGTTTAGGTTGTTATTCCAACTCCCAATATGATACATTTGTAAATATTTGTGTGCTTATTGATTAGACAAAATAACCTTTGCAACTCTTCGTATATTGTCCTATGAATATATATGTTCCTCTACATATTCTCTCCACCCATGCCATCACTCGTTTTTGTACAAATTTAATTTCCATACATATCACATTAGTTTTATTCGTTTTATAAACCTTTCGTTTACTATACGTACTACCGAGAATATGTAGATGAAGCCTTCTGGTTACGATGCACTAAATAAATAAATTCGTTTCATATCAAACAAAATCTACAGTATTAACAAAATATTATTTTTTACTTCTGTGCTATTTAAACTTTTACTATTTTAAATTACGTTTATAGAAATGGGTTTTATTATTACAGTAGTTGATAAAACTTAAACACATAGAACAATTTAATTTTTTGTTCTTCTTGGTTAATTTATATAAGTAAAACAAACATTAGTGTGATAAACGATGCGATTAGAGTTTTTATGAAATTATTTTTAAGAGTGTGTATTTTTTACTGACAACTTAGCAACAGAATATTCCTGTCCACCGATTAAACCACGAGTATGTATTTTCCGAAAAAACAATAATAGGAAGAATGTAAAACTGTTTGAACTTTATAAAGTTCCCATATCATTGACCTTCAGCTTCAGCCACGCCCCACATGGCTGGCAAAAAACAACTAATCCTTATAATATTTAAAGGCTTTAGGCTATAGTGGATCCCACATACGTCCGCATAGTAAAAACTTACAACTACAAAAGGAGTTGGATTTTATTTTAATGTTTTAGCGTGGGAAATCTTTCATTTACACGTTGTGCAGAAGTGAAAGTGGCAAAAAATTGTTTCTTGTAACGTATTACATTTAATTAATGAAAATCTGTTTCCAAATACAATACCTAGTTTTTTTCCTGAATGTTTGCTAAAACATATTTAAATTAATTTAGTAAAAATATCAGTATCAGAATTAACAATTTTAAAAAGAAATAAAAACATTTTTGCCTGGCCATTTTTTCCAACACAATAAAATAAAAAATACATTAAAAATACATCAAATGTAATGTTCTAATCAATACATTTTCTTTTCATTCAAATAGAGTAAAAATATATATATATATAATTTTACTGCTATCTTTGGCATTGTAAAACTTTTTGTAATATGAAAATTTCCGTGTTATCGCATTGTTGGTTTTGCATGTTTTAAAATGCAGTCAAAATATTTAACAAAAAACATATATTTACTAAAACATGTAATTTTCTCAATATCAAATTAAATAAGACACATTATTTTACTAACTGAAAGGAGAATTATGCCAATCACTTTGAAACTCATCAAGGAGTGAAATGGTCACAAAACTGCGCACTTAAGACAGCCCCAGAAAACAAATACAGCTAAAACTGTAGTAAAATGTTCTTAACATTACCTATATTCAACAAAAATTTTATCGATGAAAAATGTCTATTAGGAACGAAATTATTACAAATATATATATTTAACAGCTGCATTACTTACTCAAACGAGGTGTAATCACTTTAAAACTCATCGAGAACATCGATCACTTAAACATTTCTAAACACTGTGAAAAACTGAAACAAAAACAGCTAAAAATATATAAAATGTCATTTTTCCATCGCAACGTTTTTCACTTGTTAAGACTGTTTCACTAGAAGCGCCCCATCGCACTGAATTGTACGTTGTTGCGTCCATCCATGCGCGCCCCGCCGCACAGACTAGCGTATCTTCCCACTTCCCGCCAACCCGCCAACCCCAGCGTTCCTACCGTCCGGCGCGTCATCCCTTCCCGCACATTCCCAGAATGGCTACAGTAACACGGCCCACTACAGACATTGGACTATGGGATTATAAGGATTTATTAAACCGCACCCTTGTAAATGCAAACGTGTAACTCGAGTTTTGTTTGTGGTTAGAATTTGCTTGCGAGTTTACATTAGTGTATTTAAGATAAGTATAATTTTATACCCATTTGTAAAATGACGGACGTAAGTTTCTTGTCATTCAATCAGTTACAGAACCATGTATAATTTTGGTAAATCTTTGGGAAAGTATTCTCAGGCGATTAATGTTCTTGTGATAAACAAACTGAATGTTAAAGGCTCGCTACAGTTATTTATTCATAAATTTCCCTAGAGGCAATAAGAATTTAATTTCTACGTTAGAATTTGTTTAAAATATATTTTGCCGTCATTTAATCACCAACAGACATGTATTTGATACAAATTGAACATAAAATGTAGTATAACTAAGTATAGAAAAAAGTTTCATTCTTTAACAATGTCATTAAATCTTTTTACAAATTCGAAAAATTCGTCAGTACAATAAGTAGTTGTTTGCCTTTTATTTGTAACAGCTGAAAAAGGACAATTTTACAATTTGATGCAAAAATGTGACCTATTTACGTGCCAATAAGTTACTCTTATTTGATTTAACAACGTTTGCAAAAGCTATGCCACTTAAAAAAAAACTACGTGACTCAATAGTTAGATCTCTGATGTAAAACGTAATTTCACTAATACCGTAATTCATTTTCAAAAACTCATGAAATTCGACTTTTAGCTAAAAAAATAAAGTTTAGCTGTATATTAGTTGTTAACTGTCTTCTTCGAATGTTTAAGTTATTAGAGTAGCTAATTTCATTATTTTAAGTATTAAATGGATTGCGTTAATTGGTTTTATACGTTTTGACACACTGTATCATGAAAATGGACGTATCACCGACCAATATTTAGCAGTTAGTTAACCAAAACTTCCATCAACGGTTTTATAACGTTTCAAAAATAAAACAAATAAAACCAACACTTTCTATCAGAAGTTAAAAAGAGAGTTCATCTTCGTTTCACAGTCACATGTGTAAAGTTTATGGCGCCATATGTCAAGCTGTAGAAGAAACACTCTAAAATAAGTATTTCTTTCTGATCGTGAATTTGTTTTGCTACGTATTAAATCACGTTTTATATTTCTCGATGCTACGAGTTACATTTCAAAGACATATTAAATACACATATATGAATTCGCGTGAACTATGGTGTGTAAGACAGTATTGTATTAAATATTAGTAAAAATAATACAATAACGTAGATAAATGTATTTTTTCTAACACTCACATTGTTGTCATGCCATTTGACTTGCAAGATTTGAGAGGAACGCAACATAGTATATATGGAAAATACTTGAATTAATTCATGTATTTCTCTGTTAGCGAATATAATCTATTAATTATGTACTCATATTTTAAAGTATAAGGCAATACAACGAAGATAAAGACTTTGAATATTATCACTGGGCCTCTTTTTATACAAAAATCTTACTACTACATCGTAGTAAAAGATCAATTTAAAAGATTAAAAGGTTTAATTAATTGTTTGGGCGTAATGTGGTCGGATCAAAATAATTAACTATTGTGATATTTCGCAAAATGTTTACTTGTTTTGGGCAGCTCTGGTTAACAAATACCACCCATCATTATATACAAGAAAATATTGAGAATACTCATCATCGTTATTGTTTTTAGTTATATGTGATTTTTAAAGTGATATTCAACTACCCCAAATGAGTTTCAATTATTTTGGTTATTAAGTTTTGATTTCATTTATGTTTAAGTTATACAAGTACTGTATAGTGGTGTAAATGTCTATAAAACAAATGTTATTTTAAACAAATCAGTGTTCCTAGAAGTGTGTAAGTGATTAACATTACGGAGTCTGGCTTTTCCATTAAAATTCCTTTACTGTCCTCGATCGATAATTGAAATAGTGGGAGGGCATTAGGAGATTCTTGGCAATTGATGCAAAAAACCTACGCCAATGCATTACTGAACAATCACGTATTAATTAAGTTTAGTGACCATAAAAAGCGGGAAATTTCCTAGTTCTTGTTATATTGGCTATAATCATGTTATTACACACATTTTCAAATTTAAAGAAAGACTACAATTGAAACTATGGTTTTGGCCGAACATAAAAGAACCAATGATTAAGAAGGTGTAAATAGGAACGAACATCGCAAATGTTTAACTATACGTAATTAAACACTATTAATTGATACTTAACCGCCGATTATTACTTTTTTAAGGAGCATAATGTGTAAAGTGAAACTGTAACAATATTTGAATGTCACTGTAAAGCAAGAGTGCTTAGTACGAACCGTGTGTGTTTAACCATGCTGATGATATCCAGTAAAACAGAGCACTTAGTTCTTTCTTCTTTTTACACTCAAATCCTCTGTGATCACATTTATGTTCTTTTGCCGTTTTATTACTTAGTTATAAATGTAGTAATTAATTATAAGGTTAGATGGTTGTAAAAGTAGTATCAAACTGTTACTAGTAATACATATTTTTTTTATTTATTACTAGGCAAGCACGTTTCTCGAAAACATTTTTCCTCAACTCGTGTGCATCGCAGGGAAAATCCACACGTACACGTGTTAGAAAGATATTTTTCTGTAGATGTGCAGAATACCTTTATAAATAGGTATAAATAGGCCCAAAAAAAGCACAAAAATGAATTTCAAATTTTAAAAATTACATGGGCATTATGGGTTGCCATGCTGGTGACGATATAACAAAATATAAACAGAAAATGAAAACAAATGGAATAAAGTCCAATCACATGTTTTATATACAAATCAGCATATCGAGAAGTCTGTGCATTACATACTTTTGGTCGAATTTACGACCATTGGAGGACCTCTTGTTTTAATTAATGCATCCTAGTTAAAACTCGTATTTCAAATATACTGTTTTATAATCATGGTACAATTATATGGAAACTTTCTCATATAAAAATCACATGGTAAACTAAACTATGTTATTGTTATAAACTATTTCGTGATTCTATGTTTGAATATTAACAAAAATCTTGTGTAACATTTGCACATTAACTCGTAATCTTTTCGTAAACTCTATATTCCCTACTTAAGTATGGACTTTCAATATTATACATTATACAATCATAAAAACCTTTATCCTATAGTGTTGAAACCTTCTAAAAACATAATTTTATCCTTTTACTTGTTTAACATTATTATAAATAGTTTCAAAATCCAGAATACACAAAGCGTGCATGATACACTTTTAACATTTTCAAATACTCATCTACTGTAATAGGTACAAACAACTTTGAGATATATTTACAGGTGTATTATAAACCTATAAATCCATTTGGAAGCTTAATGCTGTCTATATTTCGTTATAACTTGCTAACATTCCAATATGATAGTTGATCGTTTCAAAGGTATTACAGAGCTTTAGTTCGACTGAGAAGGTTGGAGAGAAGTGTTCTAGCTAAATTTAAGCTTACCTTGTAACGTGTCAGCCTTTGATTTATGTCCTGACATATTTGAATCAATATTTTACCTTATCTCTTTCAAACACCTTCCGTGTTCTATTTCGTATTTAGCAAAGTTTAACTTAACAAAGAATTGGACTAAAGTTTTAGTAGATTATTTTCTTATGAAAATCTAAATGTGTTTATGCAACTTCATTAGGTGTCGATCTAGGGGCAGGCAACCCATCTATTTTGATCAGCTGTATCCTGCAGTATCTTTACTGAAGGATAAAACAAAGTTGAATATTGTTCTCGTATACTTAGCTACATTTTTCGACTTCGACCTTTTTTTAATTATTTTTACATTCTTCCCGTATACATAGTATATGGAGAAAGTATTGTTTTCATCAAAATTTTTGAGTCTGAATTTTGAGCAGACATATCCGACTTGGGACCTTCTGGACCCAAAAATGTGGGTATCAAAGTGATGTCTGCGTGTGTGTATCAAAGTATGTGTGGATGTGTACAGAGCTACAGACTACAAATGTAGTCCGATTTTGATGAAGTTTGTATGTACTAATCCATGGTATCTCTATTACTTTTAACGGTGATTTTCCCATAACAACCCATAAAATAATGCAAAATCTGATTGCTCCAAAAAAAAGCCCGAACGATTTTGATAAAGATTTAGTATGTTTAGCTCTTTAAATTCAAAACAAAATAGTAGAACTCCCATTGCTGTAAAAATAACTGTTCAAAAGTTATTGTAAATTGTGTTCTTTTCCCATTAAAACCATTAAATAAGAGAAAATCGCATTTTCTAAAAAGCCGTTTTGATTAAAATTAGTAGGCTATTTGATGGTCCTTATAATTCTTAACATCATAGTGCAACCCCCCACTGCTGTAAAAATTAAGGTCAACATTTATTGTAACTTATGTTATTTTCCCATAAAACCCACAAAAAAACGGAAAAAGGATTTTTTTTCAAACCGATTCTGATTTAAATTTGTCTGTTATGGCTCTTATAGTTCTAAGCAAAATAGTGCAACCCCTATTCATGTAAAAAAATACGGTTCAAAGTTTAATGCAACTTTCGTGATTTTACCTACGGTATTAAATATCATAGTTATAGTTACTCTCGTCACTTACTCATTAAGATTGCTGGCAAGCTAATGGGAGAAAGTTTGTGTCAGATTGATGATAGTTTATTTGGTATTTAACGGGTGTATATACTGTCTAATACATTGTATATTTCCAATATGGTGTTCTTTCCATATTACCTGGTTTCAAAATGTATTTGTAGGAAATAAAAAGTATTTAAGAACAGCACATCTGTGGAACAATTAAAATAGTTATTTTTTTATTCTAAAACCCTGTAAATTC